CCAAAACTCGCGTTTGAATCATCAGTGGCAAATCCTTTAAATGAAAACGTACTTACAGTCTGTGAGTCAGAGCAGCCGTCTACTCTCCCAACTCTCCCAGGATCAGGAAACAGTCCTCCATAAAATGCGCTGCACACATCTGAATATTTGGTTCTGGAACTAGGCGTGGTTAACTCTTAACTTTTATAAAGAATATCTCTTTGGATTTGAGAATTTAGTCTTTGCAACTTTACAGATCTTTTTTATGCACCAAGAGCTTGTAATACTCCAAAGAGAAAGGAAAAATTTAAATAGCATCATATGACCCCTTTAATATATTAAATATGTAAATATTAAAATATTATATTTTATATTAAAATATTTAGTTTTTGTATTGTATTAATCATAAAAATATAAATTACACGTTATGTATAATAAAGCAGTAAAAAGAAGATATTTTCATTGTATGCCACAGTATTTCTCAGATATACAGTTCAAATTCACTGCATTTGAGTTGTAATTATTTATATTAATATATTATATATGTATGTAATAAAATATTACTTTATTTTATTATGTTAATCATAAAAATTGAAAATATTTAATTTTATTTTAAAGCAGTAAAAAAGATATTTTCAATTTATGCTACATTATTTCTCAGATCTACAGTTCAAATTCACTGCATTTGAGTTCAAAATAATTTTATATATATATATATATATATATGTGTGTGTGTGTGTGTGTGTGTGTGTGTGTGTGTGTGTGTTTTATTTAATCAAAAATAAAAATTACATCTTTTATGTATAATAAAGCAGTAAAAAGATTTTTTCATTTTATGCTACATTATTTCCTCAGATCTGAACTACAATTCAAATTCACTGAATTTGAGTTCAGATTTATTTATACTAATATACAGTATCTCACAGAAGTGAGTACACCCCTCACGGTTAACATGTATTAAAAGGGGTCGTGTTTAGTCACTATTTAGTGTGGTATTTTTTGACAATATTCACTCATCATGACAGTAAAATAGGGCTTTCTAAGTCAATATACTGCAGTATTTCCTCTCTCAATCAGTAGGAAATATGGTTAACACCTGGTCATGCATGAAAAAAAAATACCGTCATGTACTGTGAAACCGGTATAATTTAGAAAAATACCGTGATATACATTTTTGGTCATACCGCCCAGCACTAGGGTGTACTCACTTCTGTGAGATACTGTATATGTATATACTAACATATATTAATCATAAAAATACAAGTATTGTATGTATAATAAAGCAGTAAAAATAAGACCTTTTCATTTTATGCTGTATTATTTCAGTTCAAATTCACTGCATTTAAGTTCTGTAACAATGCGCTGACTGTACTAGCCTTAACTCTACATTTCTGGCTTGACCCGCACAGGAAATCGAGCGACTGAAGAACGAGAAGCCCACGTGGGAGCGGCGGGTGCGCTGGGAGGGGATGAAGGCCGTTTTCGGCAGGCCGCCGTCTCTGCTCTGGTTCAACCCTTTTGCTGGACTCCGTCTTCAGGTTCTGATGGTTCGCGCCCAGAAGAACGGGGCCGAGTTCTCAGTCTGAGTGAAGAATGCTGTCTATAAGGCACAGCCGTCTGCCTTCATGCCTATTACCCCCCTCACATAGGACATAGGACTCCTTCCTTTAATGCTGAAGCAGGTTTTGGAGGTACTACGGTGAAAACCTGTTAAATAACTGATGTCGCTCCTGGAACAATGAGGCTACATCTCGATACAGCCTGTCTGTGTCCACACATTAATACCTCGGACGGCGGATCATACTTGTTTATGCTCATATTGTCTTCATGAACATTCACACTCATGGGTTTTTGTTTTGCTTTTCTTTTTTTTCGTTGTTGTTGTTCGGAAATTTACAGATTATTTGAAGGGTGTTGATATCCGTTATCCAGCCTGAAGTAATTGCATCTAGAGCGGCAAAAATAATGGTTGCGATGGTTGTTTAAAGAAATAGATCATAAACCAAACGGAATGTGTTTTGCCAAAAAAAAAAATTCTTATGTGAATCTCACAAAAACTGTCAGGAAATGCCCAGGTGGTCATATATCATCTCAAAATCAAAAGAAATTATATTGTTCTATATTTCTTCACCTATTATATTTACATTGAAAGTAAATATTTAATTTGCATTATTGTAATATAATCTATTATTTAAAATGTTAAGTATTTATACATCATGATATTTTTTGTACTGAATATAATTTATGCTAATTTTAATTTTTTATTTCTTTATTATACCAATGACAGTGAGATTTGTTTCACACTACAGTGATGAGAATTTGTTTAGCTGCTTAATGCACACAAATCTTAATTGCAGATAAAATGAGCTTTGTTTTCTTAGTGAAATATAATTAATATTTTTCTTTTCTTTTGATTTTGGAGGAACTGGGCATTTCCTTGTGAGATTCGCTTTCTTAGGTGTTAAGAGCTTGCGGCTGGTTTAGTCACCTTGTCTTTAGCACATACCCTAAACGATAAAGTCATTTTAAAATAGTCTCATCTTCATGTATTGTAGAGATAATAATAGACTCATTCTTAAGTCTTGAAATCAATGCCGATCCCACAAAGAGCTTGAATGGACGGCGTAACTATATATAATTCTCACATTGACCTTAAGCTGCTCTGTGAGATAAGTAAAGACATATCACATTATGGCGTACATAATTAAAGTATGTCCTCTGCGCACGAGGCCCACGGCTGAGCCAGGAACTCTAATTAACGTGTAGATTACAATTTTAACACGCAGCAGTATATGAGCTGACGTGGACGGGCGCCATCCATGTGGTGAGACTTTTAGCGAGCTCGTCAGTTTGCTGCACAATTCACCGAGGCTGACTATCACTTTGTGTTTTATACTGTTTCTCGTTGCATCGTGTTTTCATTGTCTTCACTTTTATCGGTAGATTGCTTTTACCTTTAGCTTAGAGAATCGTTTCATGGTGACCACTAAGTTTTCCTTGTGGAAAAATCAGTTATCAAATATAAAAATCATCTTCAGTCAATCCTGATGTTCCTAAATATAGACTTTTCCTTTATGTAATATATAATTGACTTTTTCTTTTCTTTTGATTTTGGTGTCCTGGATATGTTTTTGACTGGCTTTGTGAGATTCGCCTTGCTGTATGATTAGAAGATTAGTTATTTTTCCTTTAAAAATATATATAAAATATTTTAAAAAATAATAATAATGGCAGTACATGAGAATTATATCACAACACTAAAAGGCCAGTTTGGATTGGTCTAGATAGATTTTAAGAGGCTTAGAAAACCACTCCCATTTCCCAAGCAGAACAGATGGATATGTGTTAATGCTCTCGGATATTATGTTTACAATATTTGAATATGTATTGATGCTTTGGTTCTAGTTTCACAGCCATTCAAGAAGTCCTAATGTAAAAGATGAAGCCAGCTGCGTTTGAACAAAAAAGACTAGAGAAAATTTGAGCCAGTCTGACACTTGATTCATCGATATCCATAATGCTAGATAAATGATTATAGATGAAATAAAACTACAGAATTAGTAAGACTTTTGTTACTCTGCCATTAATATCAGTGTAATTCCAGCATTTTATTTGTTACGAGTAATGAGTTTGTGTGCCAATTTTGTTATTCAGCATTAATGACTGTCATATGGCAATGAAACCTTGTTTTAGACATTCCCTTCTCATTAAGATTGGCTTTTCACGCAGACGGTTCATGCAGCGTAACTCCGATTGAACTCGAATGGCTTGGTGTAATTTATTTTTACTTTAAAGAACGTTTTGAGCCTTTCTAAACAAGTCTACGAGTTATTCATTTTTCTGTAAAGGGAATATGTACTACATGCAATCCCCGAAGATCATGTTTTGAATTTGATATGAGAAGACTTGTATGATGTATGAAGAATGTATCTCATGCTTTTTATACAATGTGTTAATTGGGTAGAAGAGGGAGTTTTCTTTGCATTAGAATAATTCGAGTTTTGCATTCTGTGCTATTATTACTACTGCAACAGTATTTGGCTGACCTCAAATCTATTTTTAAAACATGCTTATGTAATTTTAGATGATACTTGACTGTAAAGAGGGATGTTTGCTCTTAAATGACCTTCATTAACCTCAGAAGAATAGCATTAGGGAATAAACTATTACATATGTTATTTCTTGGCGGTTCAACCAAGCGTATTCCCATCATCAGTCTGATACTATCAACAAAATCTGGAAACTTTGTCTCCAACTTTCACCTTTTCCCCACATTCGAGCTTTCTTGTGCTGCAGGTTTCACTGAGTGGGAAAAGGGTTATTAAACGAAACGTCTCAAAGCTTCAAGCTCATTTTAGCAGTGTCTGAACTTGGAAATGTTGGAAACAGGGTTTACAGCCACAAAGCAAAGATTCGGAAATTATGTCTGTAATAAATGGTGTAAACAAATATTGTTCTGATACTTTCAAGTGTCATGAAGTTATGATGTTCTTTCTTATGTAGAGTTCTTTTACATAATAAAGTCATTAGATTTAAAAGCTATTGAAGCCTAAACCTGATCTCTTTAGGTGTTTTTTAAGAAGTCACTTATGCTCACATAGTTTTTTCTTTTTTTAAATAACAGTTTTCTATGTTAATATATTTTAACATGTAATTTATTCATGTAATGCAAAGCTGAATTTTCAGCATCATTACTCCAGTGTTTAGTCACATGATCCTTCAGAAATAATTCTAATATGCTGATTTGCCACTCAAGAAATATTTCATATTATTATCAGTGTTGAAAAAAGTTCAAAATTGAAATATTTTATTGCCAAGAATAACAAACATCTGGGGGAAAAAAAGCACTTTTCATTATTTGCTGAACCCTGTTTAGCAAATCAGTTTTCCTTTGTTACTAAACATTTATTTTTTAACTACATTGTATAAGATTGGTCTGGTTTGATCTGGTTTTGTATCCTGTTTGGTATGGTTCTACCCAGCTGCTCTGTATCATTTTTAAAAAAAATCAAAAATTCATAAAATCACAAAAAATACAGTTATTACAAAACCTTGAAGTTTTACTTTTTTTGTATTTCTTTGATGCAGAAATAGTCGATGAAAATAGTCGCATACAACATATATTGTTTAAACACTGAAAACTGCTTTGAATTTAAAGTTGGGAAAGTCTGTCAAACTTGTGTAAAAGATCATCCAGTCAAAAGAATGTAATGAACTGTCCATGAGCACTGGAGATATTATATCCTCTTATGTGAGTGTGTCTTCACTTCTGATGTACTCGCCAATATCAGCCTGATGGAAAACCACTATGGACATGGGGTCGACCTTCCTACACTCCTGTGTGGTCTTCGCTGCCACTCCAAAGCCCTGAAAAGAGGTCAAGATGGTGAGAGCACCATACAAGATCACTGAATACTTTTATGGAACAGTTCACAATTTACATTTGCCACCGCCCCGGTTTTAAGAAATTTTGCATTCCATCACTTGCTCACCAATGGATCTATGACTGAGAAAAGTCATACATAAGGTTTTAATTCAGGGAATAGATTGCATGTATTTAGAATAACAAATTAAACACATATATGTAACAACTTTTTTTGTATCGCTTGTTTTCTGTCTGTCCTTCTCTTGTCGTCTCTCTAGAGTCTATCCTATGAGAGCACCCGCAATAAAGAAATGGTCAGAGTAAATAATGTCTGCACCGCGTGGCGTTCCTGTCATCGGCGGCCCATTGCTGAGATGAGCGAGGCTTTAAGCAGTGGGAGATTTTAGCTGGTTTGTCCCACTGTGTTCTGATTGCTAATACACAGCAGTGTTGTTCCAATTACGAGCCCTCTAGTGTCACCAGACTCTATTAAAGCCCATCTGAACCGCCTGTGTTTGTCCGGGACTGAGTGTGCTGTCAAACTCATAATTACAGGGAGAGTTCTGACGGATCTCCTTCAGTGAATGTTGCTCCACTCAGTTTAAATCAAACTTAATTAATATCACTTAAGGTGGAGTATTGTAATAGTGAATCGGTCAAAGGCACGAGACCACAAGCCTCTCATAGTCTCTTGCACACACGGATATTCAATTAATGGAGCTTCTCTGAAAGCAGTTTGACTCAGCAGGGAGGATGTTTGTTTGGCTTTTCACACGTTCTACAAAATCCAGTATTACAGCCAGTCATTTATCATGACTGTGGTCTTGACTGTGTGCATAGCCATATCTCTAACAAGGCGACAAGGGTGTAAACCACAAATAAAACACTTGGCTTGAGTACATATGATGAACATATGGCATATACTGTATGTATATTGCATTTTAATACATGTTCAAAAGGATTATATATTAAAACAAACTCCCCAGCCAATGTTCTTTTTTTTTTTAATGGTTTTGTTCATGGAAAATAAAGCATATACACACCCAAAGGCATAGTTCACCCATCAAAAATTAAAATTTGCTGAACGTTTACTCACCCTCACCCTCAGGCCATTCAAGATGTAGATGAGTGTTTCTTTCATCGGAACTGATTTGAAGAAATGTAGCATTCCATCACTTGCTCAACAGTGGCTCCTCTGCAGTGAATATGTGTCATGAATGGGAGTCCTAACAGCTGATAAAAAACATCACAATAATCCACACCACTCCAGTCCATCAGTTAACATCTTGTGAAGTTAAAAGCTGTATGTTTGTAAGAAACAAATCCATCATTAAGTTGTTTCATAATCCATAATAACACTTTCTCCAGTGAAAAAGTACATCTCCTGTTGTCCCTCGCATCAAAATCCACCCACATATTTGTGTAGAACTGTTTTGGACTGTGTACTCTTGTAAATAATGCTTGATCTGTGCATATGTTTCTCCTGATTCAGACAAGATTACTTTTTCACTGGAGATGGAGAAAGCAATATTATGGATAGAGGAAGTTAAAACCATGTTAATGGTGGATTTGTTTCTTACAAGCATGCAGATTTTCACTTCAAATGGCATTAACTGATGGACTAGAGTGGTGTGGATTGCTTGTGGATTATTGTGATGTTTTTATCAACTGTTTGGACTTTCATTCGGACGGCACCCATTCACTGCAGAGCATCCATTGGTGAGCAAGTGATCTAATGCTACATTTCATCAAATCTG